ATAAAGTTCTAATAATATCCGAGCAGGATAGGACTCGGAACAACGGATTCAAGTTGGATAAGTTTAGGTTTAGGAGGGAGATAGGAAGGAACTGGTTTACAAATAGGGTGGTGGACGAGTGGAACAAGCTTAGCAACTTTGTAGTAAGTGCTGGAACGCTGGAAAGTTTCAAAGGGAGGCTGGATAGATTCATGGATGCTAGAGAGTGGTAGTAACTCTCGACAGGAGCTGCCATGGACAGGCCAACCGGCCTATTGCAGACTCCTTATTTTCTTATGTTCTTATGTTCTAAGCAGTATACGAACCGACCCTCACATCAATGGACGATAGGATGAATTCTCTACTACCCCATTACAGACATCAATTGAATGGCTTGTCGAGATGGCTTTCCTCTCTTCCTTTCTCCCTTTCTTCGCGTACTCTTTCTCATTTCCTTCAATTATTAGTGTTTTCATTATCTCTCACTTCTTTGTCTCTCTTCTCTCATTATTTCCACGTTTCTTCCTTCATTGGGTATATTTTCTCCTCTAATCTTCTTCATCGTCTCCTTATCTTTCCTTTTTCTCTTTTATTCCTTCATTTTTATGTTCTTTCTGCGTCCCTCGTCTCTTCTTTCATTCTTCTCTCTCCTCCCTCTCCCCTCACACTACCACCCACTCTTCCCTCTCCCCTCACACCACCGCCCACTCTCCCCTCTCCTTGACCCCTCTCCTCCCTCATCACCAAGAATTTCCCCTCGTTGAGACTTCAGGGGCCACGAGACCAGGAAAACATTCTCTGCTCTTGGCTGGGGCTGTCCTGGGTGCTGCTACCTATCAATTCTCCATTTTTCTTGTGGTTTTGATGTTCCTTGTTCCTTGACAGTACATATGTCGTTCCTTGACAGTCCACATGGTGTTCCTTGACTGCGTTTTTATGTTCCTTGTTCCGTGACAGTTCATATTCTGTTCCTTGTTCCGTGACAGTCCATATGTTGTTCCTTGACAGTGCATTTTCTCTTCCGTGTTACTTGACAAGACATAATAAAGAATGTTAAAAGACAACTGAAGGAAGAAAGACTGAAATAACAGAGAAATATACCAAAGTGTTGACCCGCAAAATAATAATAATAATAATAATAATAATAATAATAATAATAATAATAATAATAATAATAAAAAATCAAGAATAATCAATAAAAACGGGAGAGAAAAAAATCAAAATTTAATATAGACAAATAAAAATCACAACTAATAAAGGCAATAGAAGTAATTACAAAATAAAGAAATGAAATAGAAATAAAAAAATAAAATAAATAAATAAATAAATAAAAACAATGAAAAGAGAAACAGCATAATAATAGGAACGAAGGAAAAATGTAGTAAAAGGAGAAAGAGAAAAAGAAGAAGAAAAGCCCCAAGAGGAAGAGTGCCTCAGGGAAATGAAATAAGAGGTGAGAGGCGCCGTGTGTTGGGTTCCAGGTCTTGCTAGATAGGAACAAATGTGGACTCCCGCAGCCCCAGGACGGCGATCACCTCTGGCACTCGGGGGCCAGAATAGTGCCAAACTACTCCACCAGGCGCGAGAATAGTGCCAAACTCCACTAAGGCGCTGGAATAGTGTCACGTTTCTCCGACAGGTAAGAGAATAGTGCCTAGGAGTGCCTAAGTCTACTGAGGCACTGGAATAATGTCAAACTCCTCCGCTTTTCCAGGTAATGATCAACTCCTTCCCCAGGTGAGAGGAGAATAGTGCCACTCTTCCTCACGCACCATCACACTATATAAACACACAATGCATCACTTACACATCATATAAGTCACCACACTTTACCACCATACCACACACACACACACACACACACACCACCAATCCCCATACACGTATACAAATTTCCCCTCCAGCAAAAGGACTTATCGTTGACATATCGTGTATTAAATAGTGTATGTATAAATTGTGTTTGTCCGCAATACATTTTAGTTTCATATCCTTTATTATTACACAAATTCTACCCTTTTTTTAATACTCTAGTAATTAAAAATTCTTCCGGCTTGATATTTTTATGGAGTTTTTGAATGTTAGTGATATTTTAGTTTTATCGTGTTTCAGTAATTCTTTGTTTAAATTTGATATTAAAGGATAAAACCTGTGGGGGTTTTTCATTGATTAAACCATCAATTTAAGTGTTAAACCATCATGGAATAAGAAATGGATGAAACATAATGAAATATACATGAAATTAATTAAAAAAAGAACGAAGGTAAATGAAAAATATATGAACGATATTATATGAAAAAGAAAAATGAAAAGAATAAAAATTAAAAGACGAACGAAATTAAATGAAAACCTAAACGAAATAAAATGAGAATCAGATAAATTAAAAAAAATGAAAAAAGAAAGACAATAATAGTGTTGACAGCTGTAGCACATTAACTATCATTTATCGTCAAGACAAGGGGCAATTTCACACGTTTCCACTGCTCATATTTTCCGTGTTAAATTTGTCTTCTCTTTAAGCGGTGAGGAGATATCTCTGGATCTATCTCTCGAAACATTAGAGAGATGATAGAGAGATACCGAGAGATATTATGAGTGAGATGAGAATTTGATTACATGTAGATTTTGTATGTAATCAGAGGGTAACTAATCCATGTTAACCTAACCTAACCTAACCTAACCTGACTATGTTATTCAGTTACCTCTTCCCTTCACCTGTCTTCTCCCCACCTCCTCCTCCTCCTCTCTTCTCCCCACCTTTCATCTCCCTATCTCTCCCCCTCCTCTCTTCTCCCCTCCTTGCTTCCCCTCTCCTCTCCCCACCTCCCCTCCCCCCCAATGACACAAACTATTCTCCCCAACACGATTTTTCCCTCAAACTCTACCCCACCTTTGTTATTTTTTTACACTCATTTTCCCCTCCCTCTCTTCCTTCTCCTCCCCCTCTCCCCACCATCTCCCCAATTTAGGGATATTTACCTTTATTTCCCCCACCTGCCCCCCCCATTACACCTTCCCATCCTCTCTTCCACACCTGAACATCAACCGAGTAGTAGTAGTAGTAGTAGTAGTAGTAGTAGTAGTAAGAATAGGCACCAATCACTGACCAATCGCCACCTTCAAAACATAGAAACCAACCAATCGCAATATCCCATGCCCGGAAAAGCGTGGATTTTACTTCTGGAATATATGATTCATAAATAAGTGTGTTATTCATCATTTATTCACGACTCTAAGTTACTCATTGACTCACGTTATTCACGAGTTTAATATATATATTTATGTATATTGACGGGTCTCTCTCTCTCTCTCTCTCTCTTTCTCTCTGTTTATGTGAAAAAGATCAAACTAGGAAGACCTGAATGAACGGAGAAACAAGGGAAAAAATAGAGATAACCAAAGAAACAGTTCAACATGAATAAACAGAAGAAGTGGAATAACTGACAAACCAAGAGAAACGAAGGAATTGGAACACACGATGATAAACGGTAGAAATTAAAGAGTCTATGAAGTAAACAAAAAAAAGATAAATAACTGGATTAGAAAAAATATAAATACGAATGAGAAAATATCATAGAAAACGAAAGGTGTGAATGGAAAGACTTTGAGATAAACTGAAGAATTTAAGAACATGAAGTATTTACACCCACCAGGAATTTAATATAAATGGTAATGTCAGGTAGAATTAGGTGTGGTTCTCGACCCATTGAAGCACTGATCAAGGTGTTGCACTTAAATCTCTACTATACACTTATAAAGATATCCTCACTATACACTTATAAATATATCTTCACTATACACTTATAAATATATCCTCACTATACACTTATAAAAATATTTACTATACACTTATAAAAATATCTTCACTATACACTTATAAAGGAATCTTCACTATACACTTATAAAAATATTTACTATACACTTATAAAAATATCTTCACTATACACTTATAAAGGAATCTTCACTATACACTTATAAAAATATTCGCTATATACTTATAAAAATATCTTCACTATACACTTATAAAGGAATCTTCACTATACACTTATAAAAATATTCACTATATACTTATAAAATATCTTCACTATACACTTATAAAGGAATCTTCACTATACACTTATAAAAATATTTACTATACACTTATAAAAATATCTTCACTATACACTTATAAAGGAATCTTCAATATACACTTTTAAAAATATTCACTATACACTTATAAAAATATTCACTATACACTTATAAAGGAATCTTCACTATATACTTATAAAAATATCTTCCCTATACACTTATAAAGGAATCTTCACTATATACTTATAAAAATATCTTCACTATACACTTATAAAAATATTCGCTATATACTTATAAAAATATCTTCACTATACACTTATTAAGGAATCTTCACTATACACTTATAAAAATATTCACTATATACTTATAAAATATCTTCACTATACACTTATAAAGGAATCTTCACTATACACTTATAAAAATATTCACTATACACTTATAAAGGAATCTTCACTATATACTTATAAAAATATCTTCACTATACACTTATAAAAATATTCGCTATATACTTATAAAAATATTCACTATATACTTATAAAATATCTTCACTATACACTTATAAAGGAATCTTCACTATACACTTATAAAAATATCTTCACTATACACTTATAAAGGAATCTTCACTATACACATATAAAAATATTCACTACACACTTATAAAAATATCTTCACTATACACTTATAAAGGAATCTTCACTATACACTTATAAAAATATTCACTATACACTTATAAAAATGTCTTCACTATACACTTATAAAAATATCCTCATTCTACACTTATACAAATATCCTCACTACACATGTACATAAATATCTTCATTACACATTAACATAAACATTCCAGTATATTATATTAAGTATGTACTATAAGCCTCTTACTACATTATAGAACCTCCAAAATAAGGTCCCTCCCTCACTCTCCCCACACAACATAATGTAAAAACAATTTTAGCAGAATGAAAGAAGTTGAAAACTGTGACAGCAGAACCAAGGTTAGTCAGCCCTCCTGCCCCAAGGCAAAGGAACCATCCGACCAGCACCCCTGCCCCAAGCTTGGGGGGAAATCCCAGAATTCTTCCTGCTCCAAGCCTGAGGGGTCATCTCAAAATCCCTCCTGCCCCATGCCTGAGCGGCCATCCCAGAACACCTCCTGCCCCAAGCCTGAGGGGCCATCCCAGCGGCCTTTCTACCCTACGCCAGAGAGGCCATCCCAGCGGCCACCCTACCCTAGGCCAGAGGGGCCATCCCAGCGGCCACCCTACCCTATGCCAGAGGGGCCATCCCAGCGGCCATTCTACCCGAGGCCAGAGGAGCCATCCCAGCGGCCTTTCTACCCTAGGCCAGAGGGGCCATCCCAGCGGCCACCCTACCCTAGGCCAGAGGGGCCATCCCAGCGGCCACCCTACCCTAGGCCAGAGGGGCCATCCCAGCGGCCACCCCACCTATGCCAGAGGGGCCATCCCAGCCCATTCTAGAGGCCAGAGGAGCCATCCCAGCGGCCTTTCTACCCTCTGAGAGGGGCCATCCCAGCCCATAGGCCAGAGGGGCGCCCCCTACCCTAGGCCAGAGGGCCATCCCAGCAGACCCCAGGCCAGAGGGGCCATCCCAGCGGCCAGGCCAGAGGGGCCATCCCAGCCCACCCTACCCCAGGCCAGAGGGGCCATCCCAGCAGCCTTTCTACCCTATGCCAGAGGGGCCATCCCAGCGGCCTTTCTACCCCAGGCCAGAGGGGCCATCCCAGCGGCCATTCTACCCGATGCCAGAGGGGCCATCCCAGCGACCTTTCTACCCTAGGCCAGAGGGGCCACCCCAGCGGCCTTTCTACCCCAGACCAGAGGGGCCATCCCAGCGACCATCCTACCCTAGGCCACAAGGCCCATCCCAGCGACCCTCCTACTCTAGGCCAGAGGGGCCATCCCAGCACCCCTCCTGCCCCAGGCCAGAGGGGCCATCCCAGCAACCTTCCTGCCCCAAGCGAGAGAGGCCATCCCTGCAGCCCCCAAAACAACCTTCTAAGCGGCCGTGTGATGACAACTCGGACTTGATCTCGTCGCTATGCCGGAAGAAGACAAAGTTTATCTTTCCCACCTGCCCCGTGGCAAAGGATGCAACCTTCCAGCACCCCTTCCCCAAGCCAAAAGGATCATCCGAGTAGGCCCCCTGCCCCAAGCCAGAGACGCCATCCCAGCAGCCCCCCAAACAACTTTCCAAGCCGCCGTGTGATACTCACCGGAAGACTATACTCATTGATCCTATTTGCCCCAAGCCAAAGAAACGAACCTACCAGCGCAAGCCAGGGGGGTCATCACAGCGGCCCTCCTGCCCCAAGCCAGAAAAATCATCCCAGTAGGCCCCCTGCCCCAAGCCAGAGACGCCATCCCAGCAGCCCCCCAAACAACTTTCCAAGCCGCCGTGTGATACTCACCGGAAGACTATACTCATTGATCCTATTTGCCCCAAGCCAAAGAAACGAACCTACCAACGCAAGCCAGGGGGGTCATCCCAGCGGCCCTCCTGCCCCAAGCCAGAGGGGCCATCCCAGCAGTCCTCCTGCCCCAAGCGCAAAATCGTGAACGACGCCGTCACTTCCGATGTCAAGAAACCCAAACTTCAAGGTCACCCTGAACCTCTCGTGGCTAAGGTTTGAAGTGTAATGAATACAATAAAGATTTCTTGTCATTTCTGTGTATCACCAACCCTTTGTATATCTCTTAGGTGTTTAATGAGATCATTTGAGCTTGGCACGCCTCAGGGAGGAGTGTTAAGTCCTATGCTCTTTAATATACTGATGCACAAGCTTATTGCTGAAATTCCAGTTCAGCCAAACGAAGCCGTAATATGCTCTGCTGATGATATCTGCATTATGACACAGACCAAACTCAGGCTCCAAGCCTTGCTGGATGTATTTGCTCGGAGGACTGTGGAATGTGGTCTCATAATATCTGTTGACAAGACGAGGGTCCTCAATCCTCGTCCTGCCCACCCTCTGCCTCTTGACTTTAACATTAAGAGCATGCCCTTGGACTGTGTAGCTCCTATAAATATCTTGGAATTTGTGTGAATGATCCAAACTTTGTCGGCAACCTTCGTGCCAAACTATTGCAGCGCATTAAACCCCTCAGAACCCTTGTTGGCAAGGGCTATGGAATTAACATCACCTATGCTCGTACTTTCCATCTTCACTCCATTCGTTCTGTAGTTGACTATCATGCTCTCCATCTTGTGACTATTCCGCCTAAACAACTCAACAGCCCACACTGATTAGTCTTCAATTAGAATATGACTCCAATGTATGTGAACCACTGACCTATATATACTGCTAATGAATATGGTGTATTTCTTTCTTTGTGTCTGAACCTCTGTCCTGCATGGCAGTGAAGAGTGACATTACCCTCATGAATCTGACCTCTATACATAAATAGCTGTTAATGAATATGATGTATTTCTTTGTGTATGAACCTCGGTCCTGCGTGGCAGTGAGAAGTGATACCACCCTCAGTGTCAAGACCTGACTGAATTTCTCAGAATAGGCAAACTGTACTACAAGCTTTGCCAATAAATTTGTTAAACTAAAATACTATTCCACCTAACGCCACATGGTTTTATTCAACAACCTTGATCAATGCTTCAACGGGTCGAGAATCACACCTAACTCTACCTGACATTAACATTTATATTAAATTCTTGGTAGGTGTAAATACTTCATGTTCTTAATTTCTTCAATTTATCTCAAATTCCTCCCATTCACACCTTTCTTGTTCTATGTTATTTTCTCATTCTTATTTATATTTGTTTAATTCTGTTATTATTGTTTTACTTTTAATTCATAAAACTCGCTTTAATTTCTACCGTTTATCATCATGTGTTCCAATTCATTCGTTTCCCTTGGTTTGACTTGCTTACACGCACGTTTATCAGTTATTCAACTTCTTCTGTTTACTCATGTTGAACTGTTTCTTTAGTTATCTCTTTTTTCTCTTGTTCCTCCGTTCATTCGGGTCTTCTTTCATTTTATCGTCTTTCTTAACCTATTCCATCTCTCCGTTTCTCTCTATAATTGTTCTTTAGTTCTGTCCCATTCCCTGGTATCCTTATTATTGTTGTTGTTGTTGTCTTTGTTTCCACTTCATATCTCTCTCTCTCTCTCTCTCTCTCTCTCTCATTTCCACCACCTCATTTATTCCCATTTTCCTGTTCTATTGTGAGAATTACCCTATTTTGATGTCTCTTCCATCTCTCTCCTCCCACCCAATTATTTTTCCCCTATTCCCTCAATTTATTCATTTCCTGCTCTACCTAGTACACTCGTCCCCCTTCTTACTCTTTCTGTTGCTCTCTATCTTTCTCTTACTCTTTATCTCTATTTCTTGTCTTTCTCTTACTCTTTCACACTTTCTCCCTTTCTCCCACTGTCTGTCTCTTTTCTCTAGTTCTCTATCACTCGAAATATCAATTCTTCCTCCTCCTCATCCTCCCGCTTCTCTTCCTCCTGTTCCTCTTTCTATATTGCTCATCCTCCTCCTCTTCTTTCCTATCCCCCCGTTGCACTTCCACCTTCTCTTCCTTCTTCTCCACTTCCGGTTTCTCCTTCCCTTACTTCTCCTCCTCCTCCACATCCTCTTCCTTCACTACTACCTCCTCCTCCTCCTTCTTCTCCCCTTCATCCTCTACATCCCCAGCAAACCCCCAAACCCCCGTTAAACCCCCCCCCCCATCCCCCCACCAATGGAGGACCCAGGGAGGAGGAGGGGAGGACGAGGAGGACGAGGAGGAGCGTCACTGCGTCAATTGGTTTTAGTTTCTCAGCTGACACGAGCGGGAGAGGACGTACCACTCCGTCGCTCCTAACTCTGGCAATCCTACCAGTGACCTGACGCGTAACTGAAGGAACAAAAATATTACCCTATTGACAATTTTCCCCCTGAATGATAAATCTAAAAATCTATTATTGATATTAGATAAGAAGATTGATCATTGCTTAAAGTCTATGGATGATTCTTGTGAAATGACAGTGATTATAAATAAGATATTTTTGATGATTATTAAAGAATAGTTGATTGGCTTGGTGTCGTTGTACTGGGCTGTGAAGAGTGCTTGTAAGGAAGGAAATTCAACTCGCGGGATTTTGAACGATTTTGTGGTTGTTGTCTCAGAAGTGTTGTTCAAGCTTTCGACCCCCCTACCCCCCCCCACCAGGAGAGATATTTAAGCCCTGGGAGATGTTCACCATGAGATAGCCACACCGGGAGGACGCCTTTACCATGAAGACTGCAATTAAGGTACGGAGTCTTGTGTTGTGTTGTGTAGTGTTGTGTTGTGTTGTGTTGTGTTGTGTTGTGTTGTGTTGTGTTGTGTGATGCGTTGTAGTGTGATGCGGTGTAATGTGTTTTAGTAGAATGTGATGTGTTGTGGTGTGTAGTGTGATGTTATGTGCTATGTGTTGTGTGTGTGTGTGTGTGTGTGTGTGTGTGTGTGTGTGTGTGTGTGTGTGTATCGTACAGGTATATAGTTCAATTTAACTTATATATTAATTAACTTATGGTATAGGCCTAGGCAATAACCTTGATGAAAACAATATTTAACACAAACACAAAATATATACCTTGCCATATTTGTTTGTTGTTTGTTTTTGGTGTTTGTTTACTTGTTTGTATACAATAAAACAAAGTCTCGAGGAACAGAGAAACACGAATCAAGAATTGTTACAAAACTAGTGTAGTGTGTGCGCCTGAAGACTCATGTGTACCACGATATACTGATACACAGACACACACACACACACACACATACACCTATACACACATACATAAGATACACACAGATATACACATAAGTACATCAATACACACATATATACTTACACATACATACATATGCATACACACAGAGAGATAAATATACATAAGATACACATATACACATAAGCCCATGAATACACACATAAACATACACATACATACAAATACACACATAAATACAATGATACTTATACTCAAAATATACCTACACATATAATATACACATATACATAGCCAGGTGTATTAGAGGTAACAAGACATTTGGACAGGTATACACGCACTTCACACCACCCAGCCACGCAAGGTTGGACATTCATGAATAACGTATACACATTCTGACGCAGTGTATACCTAAGAAATCCCCACGAATATACTTTGTAGGTCAGTGTATTCTCCCACGAATATACGAAGGATTTTTATGTACATTTCTTAACGTTGGTGTTAATGCCTGCAGTATGATGATTTAACCCCCCTGAGTATGATGAGTTAACCCCTTGAGTATGATGATTGAACCCCTTGAGTGTGATGATTTAACCCCTTGAGTATGATATTTTAACCCCTTGAGTATGATATTTTAACCCCTTGAGTATGATGATTGAACCCCTTGAGTACGATGATTTGAATCCTCGAGAACAATGCCATTGTACTCAAGGGAATATATAATCGCATTCAAAATATTAGAATATCGTACTCAAGAGTTTAGTCATCGTACTCAAGGGATTAACTCATCGTACTCAAAGGGTTAACTCATCGTACTCATCGTACTACACGGGGTTAAATCATCATATTCAAGGGTTAACTCATTATACTCGATGGATTAAATCATCATCATACTTAAAGGGTTAAATCATCATACTCAATAGGTTAGCTTCATCATACTCAAAGGGTTAACTCATCGTACTCACGGGGTTAACTCATCGTACTCAAAATCATCATATTCAAGGGTTATCTCATTATACTTGATGGATTAAATCATCATACTCAAAGGGTTAATTTCATCATACCCAAGACGTTAATTCATCATGCTCAAAGGGTTTCAAATTTATAATGGGCCCCAGGGATTAATGGACGCTAGCTCTAATGGGCCCCAGCTCAAATGGGCCCTAGGTATTGAAAGGCCTCCCCAAAATAAACCTGACCACCCATACAACTAAAACCATTAGAACTGGAGCCCATTAGAATTGTATCACACTAGAATTGGGGCCCATTAGAACTGTATCACACTAGAATTGGGGCCCATTAGAATTGTATCACACTAGAATTGGGGCCCATTAGAATTGTATCACACTAGAATTGGGGCCCATTAGAACTGTATCACACTACAATTGGGGCCTATTAGACCTAGAGGCCATTAAAACAGTCTGTTAACCACCATCAGAGGACAAACAACTGGATCAGGCCATTAGTTACGTCATAAGTTTAACTCGTTATGATTAATGGCTCAAAGAATATGGCATTTGAAGGCCATTGTCGCCTTTAATGTCTCTTGAATATTAAGTAACGCCATTTGTCGTTTGCCACTTAATGATAATGGTTGGGTGTGTGTTTAATATGGCGCGCGCGTGTGTGTGTGTGTGTGTGTGTGTGTGTGTTTATTGTGGTGGTACTGACGTGTGTGTTCATAATGACGCAAAGAGAGAGAGAGAGAGAGAGAGAGAGAGAGAGAGAGAGAGAGAGAGAGAGAGAGAGAGAGAGAGAGAGAGAGAGAGATTTACAGGTACGTTAATTACCGCCAGGTGAGAGGATTACCCAACACGGTTCCTTTAACAAGATTTACCTGGGAATTTGTAAAGTAGATGCGTGTTTACTTACAATATCTTTACTTATACTTAAATACATTTCTTTGTTTGTCAGTGTTTTTTGTGTGTTTGTTGGTCTGTGTTTTTGAGAGTATGAGCCTGTGTTTGAGTTTGTGAGCCTGTGTTTGAGTTTGTGAGACTGTGTTTGTTTGTGTGTGTTTGTGCTTTGACGTAATTTTGAGCTTGTGAATGTTGGTGAACTCGAGTGTTTGTGAGTCTGTGAGTGGTTGTGAGTTTGTGAGTGTGAGTATCTGAAAGCCTATGAATGTTCGTGTGCTTGTGAGAGTTTGTGAGTCTATGAGTGTTTGTGAGCCCATGAATTGTCTAAATCTGTGAATGTTTGAGCGTGTGAGTAATTGTGAGTCCTTGTGTATGTGTGAATTGAAGTTATTGTGTGTGTGTGTATGAATGTCTGTGAGTTTGTGAGTGTCTGTGTGTTTGTGAGTGTCTGTGTGTTTGTGAGTGTCTGTGAGTTTGTGAGTGTCTGTGAGTTTGTGAGTGTCTGTGTGTTTGTGAGTGTCTGTGAGTTTGTGAGTGTCTGTGTGTTTGTGAGTGTCTGTGAGTTTGTGAGTGTCTGTGTGTTTGTGAGTGTCTGTGTGTTTGTGAGTTCCAGCTTCTCGTATAAGGCTTTAGTATCGTATTAATGTATAACTAAGTAGTTCAGGGAATTTATGAGGAGGAGGAGGCAGAAGAAGAGAGAGAGGGGAAGGGGAAGAAGGAGGAAGAGGAGGCAAAAAAGGAGAATGGGGGTGGAGGAGAAGGCAGAAGAGAGAGAGAGGGGAAGAGGAGGCAGGAGGAGAGGAGGAAGAGGAGGCAAAAGAAGAGAATGGGGTGGAGGAGGAAGGAGGAGAAGGCAGAGGAAAAATGACAAAGAAGAAGAAGAAGAGGAAGAGGAAGAAGTATACTCCAAGACTGGTATAATGGAAGACAGTGGGTCAGTATTTCACAGAGTATAAGCTGGCGTGTCGTGATGGTCAGATATACTGTATATATTAAGGGTATAGTGTGTGTGTGTGTGTGTGTACATCTCCGAATACTTAACATAAACAAGACTTAATGATATGTTCTGTTGGTTTATTTGTATTGATAAAAATTCCTACACACACACATAAGTACAGGTGTCTTTGAACAGGTGTGTCAGTACAGGTGTTTCATTACATGTGTGTTAATACAGGTGTTTCAAATACATGTGTGTTAGAACAGGTGTTTTAGTACAGGTATGTCAGAACAGGTGTGTCAATACATGTGTGTCAGTACAGGTGTGCCAATACAGGTGTGTTAGTACAGGTAACGACCCCCTTACTCCCTCTAATAATTTTCTCGAAATAATTCTACAAATGTCTGCTAATTATCTTGGTAATGATGGTAATCATAGTAATAAATTGATGAGTAATGAATTTTATAAATAGTGATGATAATTACTGTGGTTTTACTGCTGAAGCAACTGATTATGAGACAACAATAATAATAATAATAATAATATAAATAATAATAATAATATAAATAATAATAATAATATAAATAATAATAATAATATAAATAATAATAATAATAATAATATAAATAATAATAATAATAATAATAATAAAAAAAAAAAATATAATTAAGCAGTGAGTTAGTTCACCTGTGTGTGTGTATGTGTGTGTAACAATCACAAACATCACCCGTAGCTTCACTAACAAACTCTCTCACGGGCATACTTCAAACTGCTGGATTAGTGCCAGTGCCTCGAGGGTCACACCGAGACTTCTACCTGATTATACTGGAGGTCAAAGGTCAAGAGGTCAGGTGTTGGCTATGGGGAGGGGGGGGGGAAATTTCTGATTAAATTGTATAGAGTTGTTAGTGGGCCTGTGACAAGGTGGGCTGAATAGGTCCAATGTTCTCTCTCTCTCTCTCTCTCTCTACACACACTCTGTTCTGTCGGTCTCTTTCCATTCCACTCTCTCTCTCTCTCTCCCTGGCTCACTCAGCAGGTAAATACTGTCTCCTGATGATGTTTGGACGAGTCAGAAGAACGACACAATGTTTTTCTTCATCTTTCTCCCTGAGTGAAAAATTTGCATATCTTTTGTTCCAAATATTTTTGCATGGGAGAGAGATAGAGAGATAGATAAAGAGAGAGATAGATAAAGCGAGATAGAGAGAGAATTTTGTTAGGTTAGGTTAGCATTAGTTGAGAGAGAGAGAGAGAGAATTTGGTTCGATTAGGTTAGCATTAGTTTAGGTTAAATTAACATTGAAATGGTTAATCTTAAGGTGAACTAATCAGGGGGGGGAGGGGGTGCTAATCTTCAGGTGATCCCTAAGACAACAAAGTGTAATTAAAAGATGTTGACGTCTTAAACACAACGTACTTTCATTGTTTTGTTTCAACTCATAATAAAGTGATGTGTGACTATCTTCTTTCTTCATTCTTCCTTCTTCTTCCTTCTTTCTTCTTCTTCATTCTTTCTTCTTCATTCTTTCTTTTTTCTTCTTCCTTCTTCATTCTTCTTCTTCCTTGTTTCTTCTTCTTCATTCTTCTTCTTCCTTCTCTCTTCTTCTTCATTCTTTCTTTTTTCTTCTTCCTTCTTTGTTCTTACCTTTTTCTTCATCCTTATTGTTATTGCTGTTCTTCTTCTTCCTTATTTTTACATTTTCTCCTATTTTTTCTTTCTTCCTAGTTCTTTTATCTTCCTT